CACCGAGTGGAATAATTGAAATATTACTAATTAATACCTTCCTACTACGTAATAGGGGGAAAGTTAGCAATTTGAATCACGTATATTTCTATTTGTTCTCCCTGGATGTGTTTCATAATGGGAAATGTTGATAAAAGACTATCCCCATTCATATGCTATCCCAATTAAAATTGCAATTACAACAGTGGTAATTGGGATACTTTGCCGATTCTGCTGAATATTTCAATAACAATTAACTATTTCGGCAAATAAGTTCCTAATTTCGCTACTTTCTGATAAACTTCCAATTTTGCGGTGAAAGCAAATTCGATGCGCACTTCATTTGTGAAACAATTTTCATGATAAGACAGCTGAAGAGCAATAAAACACTTTGATTTCTATATAATATTGTATAGAATTTATTCTCTCATTCATTCTCGTGCTCAATCATCCTCAGTGGACAATCCAGAATGTCATTATACAGTTGATTAGTCTGTAAAACTATTGTTACCATCATTGTTCACTCTACAAATAATACGAATTGGCATTGTTCGAGGGGCAGTTCTCAAGTATAACTCATTGGGATCTCATTCACAAAGTTGTCACAGATAATTTCACAATTTATATACTCTTCCTTACATATTCTATCATATGTAATTTCACTATTCTTACAGCTATAATTGTGTGAAGTGATATTTACAGTATAATTTATGTTTTCACTACGTGAAATGTTTCTTTTCTTTCATTACAACTTGTGCCTCACCATTTTCACACTCGCCTCTAAAATATGAAATGACGTGCTCTTTTCCTACCGTATTGGCCTAAAAAATGATGATATTGCATATCTAAAGTATCGCAGATTGTTGTCTACTTATTAATGATATTTCTCATCAATCAATGTTGCAAGTTATTACACTCGCCTCAGCGTCAGTGAATCTCGCGTCCCCCCAGGAATACTTAGGTATCGTCTTTCTCACTGTGTTCATCATAAAATTTGATCTCTCTCTAAAACACTCCTTGACATGCTTCAGTATTTCGCTCACACAAATAAAGCATTTTATCACATTCCCTTAATTTCATTCTCTCTCTCCCTTTCCACCCACCATTTTGCCATTTGTGTTTTATTTTAATGAGAATTTCCCTCTGTATGATTTGAAAATGTCAGCAATAATTGTAATAATGATCTCATTTGAATTTGGGTAGAAAAATTCCACCCCGCAATGTTGCCTCTCTTTTCCGTAGCATGGAAAAATACGGGCCGGAAGTTGTGGAGGAAAAAGTTGGCAAAATAAATTTTAATATTTATTTACACATCTCTGAGGGGAAATTGCGCTAAAATGATATTGTGTACATGGGTAACTTTTTCCTTCTGCACTTCACAGTGCGAATTGTATGGTGGCGCACGGCAAATTTGGGTCAATTAAATTAAATGTAAAAAATACGTCTGTTTCCCAGTCGCGCACCCTGAAATAATATTCATCTTTTTTCTACCCTCACACGCTCAGCTTCATGAAGTCTCTCTATATTTACATGTCAATTTGTATAATTATGATTTAAAATTCACGCATAATCGCATAATATATTTGTTTACCGTCTCATGCGAGAAATTCTGTTTACATGACCAAATGCAATGAACTCATTCATGTTGTTTTGCATTTGACAGGAAATACACATACAAAAGACCGCAAAAATAAGGGGTGATTCAAAGTGGGCACTGGGAATTGTGTCACTGTTCCATGGGAAAATATGCACGTTATTTTATTGATTTTGATACAGACAGTGAACATTCAAAAGGACTGCCGAAGAACACACAAATAAATAATTGTGCAAAGAAGCTTTCAGAAGAATTTAAAAGTTTCTCCAGCGTTGACTTGCAATTGAAATGAAATGCTCTCAAAAATTTCTCTACACTTTCACCTTAATTCACGTCATAGCATTGCACGAAAAGACATTTCCCGCTGAGAGAAATGTAAATTTACATCTATAAGCGAATTGTTCTTATGACTGTAATTTAGAGAATGGAATATTCGTCATTTGAATAACGAATTTCGCCTTTTATGCCACATCACTTATCGATAGGGTTCTGCATTGTGTATTCGCGTGTACTTTTACTGCACTGCTTCGGTGACATGAACGACCATTTGTGCCAAATTTAATATTCCTATATAAAATTTAATAGAAATTGTGCGGCATAAAATGTTTTGAGAGATTGTGTCTCTATTTCGCCTGCAATAATCGCGCACTTTTATCGATGGGAGCGAGGCGAAAGGGGAGCTTTTTACCATTCTTGCTCTGGAATGATTTTTGAGCGGAAATCAGATGGCGAGCTCTTACCATAAATAAAGCTCTAATAATGCTAAGGGGGCGAGGCCAAATTCATACGACACAGGGAGGGATTTTTATGACATTTTATTGCAATTTTATTGGTCACATTTCTCTTCCAGCTTATCATTCAACATATCTTTCGCATAATGTTGCCGTCTCCTTAGCCATCTTAGTGACTTTTCAACTGAAAAGTTATGGGAAAATATCGAGGGGTGTGCTACATGGAATATTTGTCTTCAAAACTCAATTTAATTGGCCAACTTGAAAGCCCTTGCGGGCCTCTTTGATATTCCCAATATTGAATATCAAGTGAACCGAAAATAATTTTATGGCTCACAGTGATTGAAATGTACATTTAAACACTGTCTGTGACCTAATTTCCGTCGAAAGCTCAGCTTTAGAGTTAAATTTGAAGCACCTTTGGAGACTTCTTTCGCTTATTTCCTCGACTTCTCTGCCTTTTCTCCAGTCTTGTCGCCACATTAGCAGATTAAGACAATTTTCGAGAGTGACTCAAAGTAAATTTCAAACACTGTAAATGTGTATTTCCAGCAACATTTCATCACTCCTTTTTCCCATTCGAAATTTCCTTATCACAACAGACGGTTCACTTCTCGACAGCCACATTTTCCTTCTCCCACAACATGGATTTCCTAATCGCATGGCTAATTGTATAGCATTTGACGTAATTGAGCCGTGAGATGACGAAAAAGCTGAATGTTGAATTTTTCCATTGTGGAAGAGGAGCTTTTGGCGGGGGAAAGAACTTCACTGGGAATATATTGGGGAGCATGAATTGGCGATTTTCCGATTTATGAAGCGGAGCACAACTTTCTCAGTAAAATAATCTAAGTTTCATCCACTTGGACGATCTGCGCGAAATTCGTATTTTAATTAAATAAAAAGATTAATGATAATTAATGAAATTTACATTTTTCATTCCCGGCCAAAAGGCGAAAAATGGCTCTAAGCACGACCAAATGACTCTAGCGTGTCGACATCTTCTGCAGACTTTGCCGAAGCATTAAAATGCGAATGAAAATTTTACAATATAATTGCTGTTAGCAATTAGTATTATGCGGAGCTTTGAGATTTTTCGCCGTGTGCGCGCGCGGGGAAAAGAAGTTGTCAAGGAGTTGAAGGGACCCCCGCGATAGAACATGCTGTGTGAGGGGCAAAAATGAAGAAAAATAGGTGGAAATAAAATAAAAATATCGGAGCAATATGTTTTGCCATAGAAAGAAAAGAGATTTGCACGCAAATTGTGAATAAATCACACACAATGGTCTGTGTTGTTGTTCTTACATGGAAATAAATGGGAGGAAAGTGGCTCTATTGGGGGTGGGACGTGCTTATTCTTCGTGATTTTCTCTCTCTCTCTCTCCCTCTCTATATTAATAAAATAAATCCGCCGGGTACTTTTGGCAGCGCGAATTAAGAGGCGCGCACAGGTTTGGTGCGAAGAGCGACGCCGATTTTCTATTTATTCTCATCAATCAGGGTGGAAAAATTTAACGAATGAGCTCAATTCCATGAGACGCGTCGATGGGAAAATGAGAATGGTTGTCAAAGAATTTCCCATGCGGGGTTCATTGAGAGCTTCGCTCAATGCACAAAAATTACACACACGGAAAAAAGTGCATTTGCAAATTGGCTGGCAAAGAAACATCGCAGAATCTCAAACCAAATGTGTGGGGAGATTTTTTTCTCTGAGTGCAAAGCTGTGAAAAGCGCGATGATGGTGAATGAAGTGTGAGGCAGAAAAAATGGAAAAATCAGTGCGGTTGAAAATTGTGGTATTCCCAAGGGACCAGAGATGTGTGGAAGGTAAATATGACTGATGAGACGGAGATGTTGATTTTTCGTCATGCTTTCCAATTACGCTTTTTTCACCACCTTTCGCGCCTCCCCCACCGGCGGAAGAGCCCCCACCCCTCGCCCGACACACGTGGGAATACAACACTGCCGTCGCACTAATAACTCCCAGGTGGAGGGTGAACGTCTCAAATCCCCACATTCGTTCCCATTTGCCTCGGCGGCGCGATATCGCAGTTTAATTAAGCTCACGCCAAAAATCAGGAGATTTGCCACCTCGCAACGTTCTGAGGGGCGAGCAATTGACGAAAAAAGAGGACACATAGCTTCGTACAACTGTGCGTAAGAAGAGAACGGAGATAGTTCTCCTAAACTCTATATTGTGAGGACAATTGGTCGAAACAGAATTTATTGAAGAGGGTTTCCTAAAAATAGAAAATATATGGTGTCGTAACTCCTTTCGGAATACCCAATCTTGGCGATTCTCAGAAAGAAACGTCATGAATTTCCCACGTGTATTCAGGGAAAACTTCAAGGGGAACGGACCAAGAGGAAGATAATATGCCTTAAATCTGTACACAACAGGAAGTTTTAGACTGTTTCCATACTAATTCTCAAGTTATGATAAATCTCTTGAGGTTCCGTCCGATATTTCTGCTCGAATTCACTGAAACCCGCTTTTTTGGATGTCTTTTCCGACCATAACCTCGAAAATGATTATTACAATTGTTTCTACGTGAAAATCAAAAGGAATCCAAAGAATCAAGATGATTTTGTAGTAAAAGAAGCACTTAGAAGAGGAAAATGGTAAGTTTTTGACCATTTCCACATCCTATAATACTTCCGCTGAGCTGTAGACTATGACTACATTATCTCCCCCTTGGAACGTACTATGATTTTGTTGGTTCTTTCTCCCTTCTGAATCCAATTCGGGAAAATTTCATTTCACTTTATTCACAACAAGGTGTCAATGTTTAGTAAGATTCGCCAAAGACAATCTCTCAACTGCTGTAAATGGCCAAAAGTTTTCACAGAACTTGCAAAGTAAATCTTGAAGTAAATACACGAAATAGAAAAGGTCATAGGAAGTCAGTGACCAAATTTGACTCCCTCTATCTTGTCTTGTTTTCAGCTTGAAGTTCAATTGAACATTTTCTCCTACACTCGCATAAATTCGCATAGTTACTACCCCTTGTCGGAATACCAGTTGATATGGAGAACAATTTTTCCCATTTCGCCCTCAGGCTAGAGTGGTCGGGGGGCTGACAAACAAACCACAGAGGCTCTGGTCTTAACTTTGCAATGCTTAAAAAAAGAGGCAACATCCGGGGAATGGGCGAAATTATTTCCGCCCCCACGTTCGGGGCTGTGGAAAAAAATAAATTTAAATTACAAAGTATGAAGTGTAGATTTTTCATTACGTAGGTCTCTCTACCCTCTCTTCCTTATCTACGCCGTCTTATAGGTTCAACCCGACGCCGCGCGTCCCCTTATTAATAATTTTTCCCCAATCTTCGTGTGTATTTCTTTTATACAAATATTGGACCATTTGGTGAAAAAAAGTGGCCCAATTAATTTATCCTATGTACATTCACTCGTAGGGTCGATGGTACAAAAAAGTTCTCTCCTATGTATAATTATTGGATATTTGCTAATTAAGTCAATTTCCTCACAGTTTACAGTATTAAAAAATAGATGATGAGCAGGAGGGCGGGAAGGGTGTGCAGACCCAGCAAATGTCTCGGTGACTGTCGACTGAATCGAGGTGCGAAGCTACTGAGTGCACTGGCGTGACACAGTAAGTCCTCGGGGAAGATCTCCAGGAAAGTCAATTTCTTACCACTTATCGGATCCAGGCAAGTGCTACCTCTCGCTTGCTGTAAATCAAACAAGTCAGCATTTTTATCCACTTCGCAGGCACACGTAAAGGATTTATCTAAGAGCATTAAATTAATGGGTCGGGTTCCTGTGAGCCTCATTTTTCCTCATCCACCCACAACCCCATCAGTTCACCTGGCGAGAGGTGTATTATCTATGCAGGACGCTTAACTCTTCACATTTCCTCGGCGCTCTCCATTGGCAAGTCACGTCCAATTGGTCAGTGTGCCAATAAAGTCAGTGTTTTTCGGAGATAGCTGAAGAGTTAAGACTCCTATTTCACGGGATTAGGGATCAATACTATCAATACTCACTCTGGACATAATTTGCTGCTCATCCTTCGTCACCAGGTGAATCTGGACCGTCTCCCTCAGCCAGCGTCTGAGCCAGTGACCCAGCCAAACCAGGCCGCAGTCGCACTGCAGGGGATTCCCCGAGACGTCCAATCCCCCAATGATGCTCCTCGTTCCCACGGCATCCCAGGCGCTGGCGTTGGGATAGAAAGTGTCCGGAGACAGCGTGGCCAGCAGATTATTTGATATGTCAATCTTGAGCCGCGGCACGTACTTCAGAGCGTAGAACAGTCCCGGTGGCAGGTCATTGATAAGTGTATTGCGCAGTCGAATAGTGAGATCCTGGCTGCGAGCGAAGCCGTTAAAGGCATTCGGTGAGATTGTCTTGGCACGCGGGCCTCTGACGTCCAGCAAGTTGATCTTGGTGGCATTGATCGCCCGCTCGAACAAGCGCTCGTGGATGTGCTCCTCGAGGACGGTGACATAGAGCTCCCGGATTGTCCTCGTCCGAGAGATGATCTCCCCAAGGTGATACTGCGACGTAGCGCGCAGAACTCGCAGGTTGCGCATCAACGAGAAAGCGTCCACGGGCAGCTTCACACCTTCAATGGAGAGCTCGTCGAGGAAGCGAATCTGGGCGAAATCGTGCACAGACACCTTCCTGATGGGGTTCCCAGACAAATCCAGGACCCTCAGTCTTTGGGGCACGTACTTCCCGAAGTGCGTTAAATTGACGATCTTGTTGTAGGCCACGTGGAGGACCCGCAACTGCGGAGCATCTCTCAGCGAGGACATATCTTGGATGTGATTCTGACTGATGTCCAGCTCGGTGAGTCTAGATTGTGCCACCATGGGCGGCAGAGTGTACAGCCCAGTCGAGCGGAGACTCAATCTACGTAGGCTGGGCAGGTGCAGGAGAAGCTCTTTGAAGTTAGTGGACACGAGTGGGTTGAAACTGATGTCGAGAGTTGTGAGATTCGGCAGGTGACTGAAGGTGTTATCGGGCAGGACAGTGATACGATTGTGCGCTAGTCGCAACTCTAGGAGGAAGTTCGTATTGCTGAACATCGTTGCATCTAGGTATTCAACCTGGTTCCCATCCAGTCGAATAGAGCGCAGTGTGAATCCGATGTCGGAGAAGGTGTTTGCTGGCCACAAACCCAGAAAATTCTCTGACATGTCCAGAAACTCTATTCTAGTGTTTACGAAAGCATCTCTAGGCAGCGACTTCAATCTATTACCCTTCAAATTGAGCACTCTGAGCTTCTTCAGGAAGCCAAACTGCTCAAATTGCAGTTGCTCAATGCGATTGTCACTGAGGTCCAGTTCTTGCAAGTTCATGAGTCCCTGGAAGCTTCTTCTTCGCAGAGTGCTGATGTTGTTGCTGGACAGATTCAAGCAATCTAGCACATCCAGATCGCCGAAAGCGTGATTAGTGAGGAATGATATGTTGTTGTTCTGCAGATGGAGCTTCCTAAGACTCTGTCCGAGGTTGTGAAACACCCCAGGATCTGTCAGGAAGTTGTGGCTGGCATCCAAAGTGTGCACGTACAGATAGGAACTCAACTCACCCTCGAACAACGTCACTTCGTTGTGACTGATGTTGAGACGCATAGGAGTACTGGAGTTGGAGACGTGCCTGAACGCCTTGAGGGAGAAGGACGTGAGACTGTTGAACATAAGATCTAGTGCTAGGAGATTTGGCAAGAAGGCGAAAGCAGCCTCAGTGACGTTCCTCAAGTTGTTGTAAGACAGATCAATATAGGTGAGGAAGGGTAAGTTGTGGAAGCAGTGACGCTCAAGATGACGAATGTTGTTGGACGCCAGATTGACAAACTGCAGCATTATGAGTTCGTCAAAGGTGTTGGTGAAGAGCCTCTCAATAACATTGTAGGAAGCATCAACATCCATCAGGTTCTTGTGAATTTCAGGGACGAAGATTGTCCGCGGGAGGACAGTAATGCGATTATAAGCGATGTTGATGAAGGTCAGTTCTTTGAGCGAGATAAGTGAATCGTCGGGAATGAGCTTGAGGTTGTTGTTGTCCAGACCCAACCACATGAGTTCAGTTAGAGGATTTAGAGCTTCGAGCGGTATGTCTTCGCGGTAGATTCCAAAAGACAGTTCCAGGATCTTGAGTGTCTTTGAGATGTTGACGAATGCACTTGGATGGACGTAGTGAATGTCATTGAAGCTTAAGCTGATCTCTTTGATGGACTCCAGTCCATTGAACGATCCGTAGTTGAGCATAGTTATTTTGTTGTTCCTCAGCAGTAGAGTCTGGAGTTCAGATCCCCAGGACACGAACCCATTCTCAGGCAGATCAGAGATCTTGTTGTAGCCCATATTTAGATAGGACAGGTCCGTACAGTTCTGAAGTCCTTCAGTTGGGATACTGGTGAAGTTGTTGCTGCTGAGGGAGAGAACCTTTAGAGTTGGTGGCAAATGAGAGACGTGGTTTATCTCATTGGCTGTTAAATAAAGGTATCGCATTCGGTTGAGGGTTTCTAGGCCTTCGAATAGGTTTGTTAGATGATTGCGCTCCAAATCCAGATATTCGAGGGTGTTCTCAAGCCCTGCGAAAGCCTCGCTATCAACTGACGCGATGTTATTGAAGGCCAGGACAACGTGAACAGCTGAAGTGCCCCTGAAAGCTGCCGATGGTAGATTCACGAGGAAATTGTTCTCCAGATTGATAGCCTTGGATCTGATGCTCCCATTGAACATTTGGCTGGGTACGGAAGTGATTTCGTTGAAGCTGAGATCCAGCTTCTCCAGATGGACTCTGTTAGCGAACTCGACTCCATCCACGCTAGTCAGCAGATTGTCCTTCAGCGATATTATCTTGATATCGTGCAGATGCTCAAAGGCTCCCACTGGAAAGACTGTGAGCACATTTCGCGAGAAATCGCAAGTGACCAGAGATCTGGGCAGCGAATTGACACCGACATACGATAGGCGGTTTTCGCTGAGATTTAACCATACGAGCTTCCTTAATTTGGCAAATGTCCTCGTTGATACCGATGCGGCGCTCACTAGCGATTGTGTGCCATTGATTTTTCGCTCATCGTAGGGCGACGAGAGTTCAGTTATTGAATTGCCAGATATGTGCAGACTTCGCAGTGATTCCGTCAGGCTGCCCCAATTGCCATCCAGCTCCTCGATGTGGTTCCTATCGTGTTTTGCATGGGTGGGTCGAAAAGGTGGAAAACATTGTAGTAAAACATGTGTGAGCAATAGCAATAATAATAATGGTGTGCAATAAATTCAGTGCCGAGGAATTTACCACACTCTCACGGCTGGCACTGTGTCATGTCTCCTGAGCGGCTCAAACAGATTGCTCCGGCTCGCACGCAGTCTCACTCTTTCGGGCCTGGAACGTGGGAATAGGAGAGTGAAGTGACACTTACCGTTGTGCTACCAGGCGGGTCAGCGTCTGGATGTTGTGCAGAGCCTCGAGGCACAGCGAGTGTAATGAATTGCCCGACATGTCCAGTGTTATTAGAGAATGTGTCATCGAACTGAAATGTAAGGCAAGCAAAAGTGGAATGTGATTAATATCCTTGCGACCCCCGCACTTCATATACAACGCTTTTTCCCATCGACCCCCCAGTAAATCAAGATCAAGAGGCAATCCAATTGACTGACAATACAAATATTGATTTTTTCTCACCAAAGTACTGAAAGAAATAAATAATGTCGAGACGAGAAAACGCAATAAACTAAATTAATATTGGGTTTCCTGCCACTAAGGGGGGGCCGACCGGCGAACAGATGCCGAAAGTTGAGAATATTTATTTTTCCCCCTCGCCCCTGTCCCACCACTCCATGCTTCCGGGAAAATATTTTCATTTCTACTCAATGGGGAGTGCAGGAACACACAGGACAAAGAGTTTTCGAGTCCACTGCACTGTGATTTAATCATGGAATGCTAACTGTATATAATATAGAATTCATGTAACAGAGATGTGAGTCACCCAGTAAATGCTGCCGAAACTATTCCAGAGAGCTGGAAGAATTAAATAATTGAGTATTTGGTTGAAATTGTTATGTCACATTTGGGACAACAGCTTTCCACTGTACAGTGTTCGATGTATAATTCCACACACCATTTTCAGAGCGTTTGCACACTTACGAGTTACTCCACGAATTGGTGCAAAGTGGGATCATTCCTTCGAGGATATGCTTGGAGTGTGTAGAGGATCATCCACGAGTCACATCTCTACACTCAAGAGTTAATATCCTTTATCGACACTAGCGACAGTTCTTTTGGATTGTGTGGCAATCAACTCTACTGACAGCTGAAAGTTGATTTGCTTATTTTCCCAAAAACGTGAAGTTTTACGTAAAAATTGCGAAAATTGGTGATTCACCGAAGAATTAGATGATTTTAACAGCCCAGGACATCATTCATGATCCGCTTTCCCGTTTACACTCACGTGGATCATCCATAAGTCTGAAATCGCTCTCAATCTTCTGAGCCTTCTGAACAAGATGCACCATTTCGACTCACATCTCCCCATTCAGCTTTCATGTCACACTGGGAAAATATTGTTCTAATCTAAGCGAGTCTTCCTGCTTCTCTGTCCTCAAAAGTATCACACATATATTTAATTTAATATTTTTCTCTAAAGTTTGACATTCGCAACACCAAAATACATCACAATATTCCAATGAGATGTGACATCATTCATGACAACGTGTTTCATCGGATCTATCCAAAGGCGAGACATGGCAGAAAAAGAGAGGACAAATGTATTTTTGCGCGCAAATGAGAAAAGTTTTTCCTACGGCGATGTCCTCTTCCTGTGCGTGTCTGTCACGAGAGATTGTCGCGCACATCTTAAGGATTCATTATCAATTATAAGTTTTATGCTTGTGCGCCACATTTAGCCCAGCTGAGGGGAAAATAAAACTTGATTCTCACACATAAAACTATTAAGCTCATTCAGCGACCCCTTTGCCATGCTGGCAATGATTACAATCCATTTACAGTTGAATTTTCAGCACTTTCATCCGCTATTCTCGACTTCCTGGCTCTCCCCCCGCCCATCCACACCATTGTCCTGCGGGATGTGTACTTACTTGAAACTTTTTTCCAAGATTTCATGAATATCGTTGTTGACAAGCTTCAGCGACTCCAGTCGTAATCCTTGAAAAGTTTCCTCGTCAACGTTCTGCAGATGTGTCTGCGAGATCTGAATGTGGCGGACACTGTTGTGCAGAAAGACTGCAAAGAAATTAAATTTTATACATATTTTTCACGCGGAAGCGCGACTTGGCGAGCTTTGGAGTGGGAAGCGAGTGAATTTTAAATTCTTATCTGATTCAATCTTCAGCTGAGGGTGGAATGAAAGGGTGGATGATGATCATCGTGGAAATGAATGGAGTCCAATCCTTTTCTAATGCAATTACCGTTTCAGCCTTTATTAGTTTCTCATCCACCCGAACAGTTGGCACCTTTTTCCCCCCTTTTTTTCACAGTTCGCCTTTCTGCCCGCATCGTCACGATTATGCCGTGAAATTCCCCAGCAATGGGGCGAGACTTTTTGAATGGATCTGAAGGCATTTTGAGCTCAGCATTGGGATGCCAAATAAAGACATTCCGAAGGCGCCGCGCGCCTTCTCGGGCATTAGAAGAAAGTTTCAGATTGTAATTTCATCTTTATAGACTTGGACCCCTGGAATTCTTAATTAAATTGTCTGCTGCTGATGTTCTGTACACTCTATTACTCCAGCTTTGCACAATTGCCTTAACCTCTTATTCGAATTATAATTTATGTTCGCCGAATATCACATTAAAAGCGCCTCATTATCTGCATCAGTTCAGCTACTAACAAGGCAATTCAGCACTTCTGCGCGAACATCTCTGCTGCAAGACTAGATTATTTTCCAGGAAAGAGGAAAAACTGCTCGCCGCATGAGAATTAATGTCGTGAAATGGAGGCGCGCGTATTGAAATGAAGAAATTTCATTTGGCAAATGGAAAATGAAACAAGTCGCATGCAAGGTGTATTTTCATCCAATTCACTTCCACAGTCTTTGCATGACTCTGCAGAAATTCAGCAGTATTTATGTGCATTGCCATAGATGGGAACGTGAGCAGATATTCCAATGGGAATTTTGCTGGATTATGACTACCATTCGTGGCATAAGACTTTCAAATCAATTACAATTGTGCCAACCGACACAATTAATCAAAATTGCAATTTCCACGAATGCTGGGGCATTTTTTCCCGCCAACTTGACAAGCAACTCAATTTGCGACAATTGATGAGATCCACCAATGCTTTAAGCATATGTGGACAGGCCTCGGATGATGAACTGAATGTATTTATGTTTCACTACAAATCATCCATTCAAATGCACCTGTGCTTATTTGATATTTTACCCAGGCGAGGATTATTGTGAAAATTCATACTTTTATCGGATTCTTTCCCAATCCATATCACAACACAGTCAGTGACCGGTCTACGATGTGGACATGAAGTTGGACACTTGTTTTAATTAAAATTCCGTGTTTTTCCAGTGTTTGGAGTTGCATGAGAAGTGCCAGAAGTATTTCTGACATTTCACACTGTGAATGGCTTAAGTCCCGAAAAAATCCCATCCAATTTAATTGAATGAAAGTTGCGATGATTCAGATCTCTGCGCTACCGTCATCAGTGGCACTCTGCAATTCTCGCGTGTTTTCGGTGTAGTTGCAAATATTGAAAATATTATTAAATTAAAGCGGATTAAACCTGGGGAATTTCGTATGTAAATTGCGGATTGAAGAGGTGTTATTTTGGGTGACATTGCATTCACAACAGCGCCGGAAAAAGTATGAAAATATTATTTTAGTCCAGCATGGGAAACAAGGCAAGTGGGATTAAGCATGTAGATTGCATGTGAAATATTTCCGTGGTGGCGAAAGCCACAAAAATCAGATAAATATTGGCGAGCGGAAGGGTAGAGATAGCGCATATGAAAAAATCATGGGTTTTGCAGATGATAAAAAGCAAGCGGCGCTGCGGCCAAGGAATCCAAATTGATAGACAAGTGGGTAAGAAGCCTTCGGGTGGAAGTAATGAAAGACGATTGGCTGGGCATTGTGTGATTTAATCGCAATAGTTGGATATTGGCAAAGATGGAGGCTTCTCACTGGAGCACTTTCATGCCAAGAGGCAATCATGTCAGCAGCAACATGTACAATGAGGGACTCAGAGAGGAGAGTTCCATCGGATAGCAACAGAGAGTGACTGATGACCATTACAGTTGTGATTGTGATCAACAATTTCAATCGATTTCCACTCCCACGGAGGCGGAATCATACGCTTTATATCGTATCTGATCGATAGGGTTGGGGGGAAAGTGATTCGGGGCGGACTTCTGTTGGGGCTTTTCTTGGTGGTTCTCCTCTTAAAGTTTCGTTAAAGCCACAAGCGAAGAAAGAGTTCATATTGACTTGGAAGCTCACACAAGTGACTCTGAATTTGATAGTTTCACTTCCTCATTCTACTGCGCCTGTAGTCAGTTTTGGTTCTTAATTTAAATTGCTCTCTTCCTCAGGCATAAGCAATAAACAGTGACTGTATCAATTAATCAGCCACTGCATTGATTACCTGCCTACAGAGATTACACAGGAGATTGTACTGGGGATTTGCATAATTCAATCACATGTCTGAGGCAGCGATTGGATTTGTCAACATTTGATCAAGTTCATCCTTCATCTTGAGTCATATCAACTCTAATTAGCTCCGCAAACCTCATTGGAGATTCTCTTTGGCTTCAAGGTGGAAGAAAATTGAGGTGGATTACGGTGCGAACGTGAATTGAATTCCATCGATCGCAACTGCTCAATGAGAAATTAATTAAGCACATTAGTTATTTCAGCAAATATTGATCAGAAAGGGTGGCAAAAAACGTCACCAGTAATATACTTCCGTCATACAGTGATTTCGCTCCAGCTGTGCAATCATTGCAGCTTTGTGAGAACTTTCGCGATGTTGAAAGCTTAATGTTCGGTGTTGTGCATTGGGGAAAAAAGGTAATGCAGGAAAATGCCGAAAAAAGGTCGAAGAGCAATAAAAAAAATCAATATTATGCAATTTCATTTTCACTCTGAACGTCAAATAATAAATTATTCAACCGTGACTTTGTCATTCGCGCTGCCAGAGGGCGGCATTACATTTTTCCATGCACTCTGGAATAATTAAAACTCACCACAAAAAGCGTGATTTACCACCACCAAGAGCGTTTGCCACATGGAAAGCCTCGATATTAGATACAATTTCCATATGATTTCCCTCCCATGGACATTATTGAATTTAATTGTGCGGCCATAAGCAGGAAACACTTGTTAGTTGTTCCACGATAGTGACCAATAGTCGTCTGACAAACACACACACACTGTGCACAATTCCACCGCAATCCACACTCTGGGGCATTGAGGGTGTGGAAAGTGTTATTGAGCTACTCGAAAGCAAAGATTTCCTTCCGGAGGGACACTCATTTCTTCATATGCTAAATTAACAATATAAGCATCGTGAGATGGGATTCATTTTGCCCACCCACTTTGACAGACCCTGAGAGCTTTGTCCCCAGCAACCATTGGACTTTTGCCTGTTTTTGCCACACAAGGAAGGGTGAAAATTGTCTGAAAGTCTCTTTTGTGCACACGTACTGTGTGCACGATTGAAAAGAGAATGACTAAAGCCCTGACAGGGAATATAATTGTGGTTTTTACCAACTATAGTTGTGAGAAGTTCTCAAATTTCATCAACCTCACTTAACTATCCTTTCATATACAATCTGATGGCATTTACATAAATCGCCTCATGCGAAGAACTTCCAGCGTTTTAACAACACGCACCCATTTCTCGCAGTGCAATCACAACGAGGACGGGTTGAGAAGTCTCCTCTGCTGGTTTTTTTCCACATAGACATGAGTGGGTTAGTGAAGAAAGTCTGAGATTATTATCAAGTCTTTCCGGCTTAAATGAGGTTATTCCGCAATGTCATGCCCCGGCTCATTCTATTTCACTCCTCAGCCATACAATTCCAAGGGAAAATTGTGTGTGGTTTTTCCTACCTCTGAAGCCGCCTACGGTGAAAAAGTCTGAGAGACTTCAGAGGGGGATGCCGTGTGTGTGCAAATAAAACAGGGGGTCTATTTATGGTCTGGAGGAAACAACAAATATTCCGTCTGTGAATATTTCCTGCTGAATCTTGGTATGGGCGCCCCAAGTGGGGAGGGGGCGTGACAGCTCATTCTCCAGCAAAATTGTCTTCAACATGCATCCACACTTGTAGCACTTAAGTCGGCTGCTGTGTTGATTTACCTTCGGATGCCGGGGAGTCGCGATGTCTTCTTCCGCAACCAGGGTTTACAACTTCAACACGGCAAATGAATAAAACTGCACCATTCTTTCAGGACAGCGCATCTCAGAAGATATGGCAGATATTGCAAAGCTACAGCATCAAGGCATTTCACGATAGTCCCTTATATTACAATGTCTAAAGACATCCCGAGACGGCTCGTGTACAAATCCCAGCGACTGCAAACCCCAAATCCCTTCTCCCGCCTTTGTCTCCCATTCGCAATAAAATATCACAAGGGATGGTGTTCTTAGGTGGAGTGGCAAGCACAGAGAAAAAAACAAATATAAAAATAGGAAGCCAAAAGGGAGGCAACACAAAAAACTTTACAACTTGAAACCTTATAATGTAGAGAAGAAGAAATTATATACAGAATGCTGAATGTTGTGGGCGAGAAAGGAAGACAGTCAGCCACGGTTTCAAGATGAATTCTCTGCCATGCTCTCTTGTCGTGTAAAAACTAATTGTCTTCTAAAAAGTCCATCCCTCTGTACACTCGCATTTTTATTCCATCTCTGTGTTTTCCACTCAAAAACACTCCCCCGTGGCTGAATAACATGCAGGAGAATGCGACTTTTAGCAAATCGCATTTTTGCTTTTATGTCATGTGCGGTTGTTGTGCACCGAGAACCACATAAAAGACTGTTTTCATTTGCGCACCAATTTGGTATTAATAAGAAAACTGTGGAATTTTCCGTAATTGTTTCACGTTCTCATTCCTCAGGCGATTTATCCTGATTCATTCCATTCAGTGCAATATGCTTTTCTAAGTTTGAATTTAATATAATTTTGCTGAGAGATCCGAGATTAGTTTTGCCAGATCAGCAACACTATTTTGTTGAGTTGTATGAAAATATTAAAAAGCTACGCTTGAAATTTTCTTAAGAAGTGAGTTGATATTCGTTTTTTCCTTCACACCCATTAAGATATTATACATTAGGTACTCATCTTTCTGTAAGAAGCCTGCAAAATGAACGGATTAACTGATCTCACGACTTCTTGGAAGCCCTTAAGCTGGCCTAAGATGTTCTTCAACAAACGTTCTTTATCGTCAGAGAGTTTCTTCTCAAATTCATTCCAGGTAACTGATTACTTTATCAACTTACGTGCCTCTATTTTGACCCAGAAGGAATGTTTCTCTAATAGATTACAAATTGCACCATTTTAGACGGAATACATTAAAATTATCGTTGAACCCACGGAATTCACGGTAAGCTCTCAATTGTTAAACCACAGTTATCTGCTTTCTACTTAACTGTGAGAAGTGTAGTAAAATTTCACCTCAATCGATTCCGTTCACGTTCACGTTCGAATTGGTGGGAAAAAATGAAGTGTGCGGTGCTGGAGAGCTTGTGGATGAGCTTTGTACAATGCGGTCCGCCCTCTTGGAAATGGATTAAAAACTATTCAATGTGCGCTTCTTCCATCTGCAACACTGTGAAGCCCCTTCATGATGCCTGAAATGTGTTTCTTTTCATGTGTGCACAATGTAATGGACATGACTCGTCGGGTTTTCTTTCTCTTCACCTGGCTCACAAGAGGATCACGAGTGGCGGGGGATGGGAAACCCATCATGGAGAGCTTTTGTGCCACGGCAAACATCGCACAATTCCACTTGATGTTTATATGTTGAAATATCATAAGTGATTTATGTTTATTAGTTTCCCCTTTTGTCGGACGCCCCAGGCTCGAGTCGGGGCTGGGGTTTATGATGTGCAAAAGACTGGGTGACTGCGGGGCCAGGTGAGAAGTTAGGCGGGCACAGAAAGAGAGAAAAAAAACCTCCTCATGTTCTTAATGGTCCATCATTTTTCTTGTCCCACGAAACAGTGGTTGGCGCACGATTGCTGATTAGACGGAGTCCTTCTCTTGCCTCCTTGTTTTATCGCCACACTTAAAATTATTGGTATTTCAGGGGGTGAGAGAGAGAGGGAGAAAGAGAGGAGATGAAGAGAGGGAGGAAATTTTAATTGTGTTCTCGTGCTGAAGGCGAAAAAAGCTATGGCGAGGAAAAGCACGAAAATCTAATTCCGGTGCTGCAAATCGGGAAATTGCTTCCCACCTCGCGGGAGTTGAGCTTTCATGCGGGCGCTCAATCACGGCGTGGGCGGCAAGTGTGGGGGAAACGTGAGTTTCTCATTTTCCTGTTGCGACAATAAATAAATTGAAACAGCAGGAAGTGTCCTTTTAATAACACCAGCCAGTTTTGTATGCACTGCCCAATCTCGATGGGGCATCTCGTATTATTGAATCACAACTTAACGATGGCACAGTCGCCATCCGGTGCACTGGCGCGATCCCGCCGTGCTTGAGACATTATTTTTATTAGCACGTGTGCTCTGCCACTCTTAAATTGCTGCAATTGTTAAAGTTTTTCCAGCACCAACTGCAACAAAGTGCCCCTAATGATATGACCAATTTCCAAGTGCTTCTTTCCGTTCAGCGAAATTCGCTGAAGTGGTTTAGTTTGGAAAACTATCTCACCTACAATTGAAATTAATTTTCTACTCCTTTTTCCTTGCCTCTTTCAAAAACTCAAATATGCTTTTTCCGCTCTTTCACGAGTGTTTGTGCTCAATGGTTCATAAAATGCAAATTAGGAAAGAATTTGATCCTTCTGTTCGCGTTGCTCAATCAGAACATGCTTCAGAAGTACGCTCAGGATCTCTTCTCCACATGCTAAATCCAAAATCCCCTGTTACCACACTTTGGCGCTAAGTGGCATTTGTCATGTGACGAAAATCTAAATCCATCTGTAAAGTATTTACCCCGGCCGCCGACCCACTTTTCCGCCCACTTCTAAATTTAAAAAGATTATGTGATTTGGTGCGATTATCAAAAAATACAATGTTAAATATCGCAAAACCACGCGAAGCGACGAGCTTTTGTGCTATTGATTGGTTTTAAGGATTTATAGGAATCCCGAGAGCGCCCTGGATCGGGATTGTGTGTCGGTGGACAAAAAAGGGGGGGACGGTGAAGGGTGTGCGGCGTGGATTGTAAATAAATCTCAATCTGGCCCCCGATATTGGCAATTACGTGTAGTCAGGGTATAAAGTGCTACCCGCTGAATCCAGATTGGCGAAATACACCTTTGGCCCGCTCAAACATTTTACCACAACCGACATTTGTCTGTCTCTGGGCGCCACCCGTAATGCACTAGACGAGAAATGCCGAAATAGGGCTGTAGGACGAGCGGGAAATGGGAGCAAATTTTCCTTCTCTCGCCACCACGTGCCATATATAACCAAAACTAACTAGGTAATTAACTTACCAGGAAATTTATAGAGTGAAACCTCATTGCAATTAATTTGAAATAAAGAGGTCTCGTTGGGGAGACTTGCGCACTGGCACATGGGATTGAGTGGGCACGAGTACAGGATGTCCTGACTTGTGTACAGCTGCATATCCCTCGTGTCCAGCTTCCACGCGTCCGATGACTTGAGCCAGTAGATCATCGATATCGAGATGATGAACACGTGAGGCCCTCGACGCCGATCCATTTCCTGCAACATCAAGGGAAACACAGAGAGATTAGTGTATTTTCTCCAGTATCGTGGCTCGCTTCGGCCCCTCCCTTTCAACTTATTAAATTGAGAGCTTCCTCCGGCCGCGCTAAAACAGGAAAATAATCCCAACACAGACCGAAGCAGCACGATGAGAAATTCATTGCATGACAATTGCCCATCATTCAAATTAATGCCTCCAATTGAGGGCGGCTCCACTTCTCGGCCGTGAGAAGGTGTGAAAGACGTCGCACACCAGCTCACGTGTTTTCCTGGGAGCGAAAATGGACCCTGGGGCGTCAATAAAACTTTTTCCAAGTGGCGACAAAATACATAATAGATACCACTGAGCATTCCCCTGCAATGAGTCCCACGGGGACGAGAGATTCTCTCGGAAAAGCGAGGCGAAGGCACTGCGTTTCGCCCAGTGTTTCCGCAATATCGATGGAGAATAATTAGGCGTACTTCTTACCTAGGCGGAAAGATGACTAATTAATGAAGTCTACGCCTCGTCCGATTATTATTAAAAGGTATGGAGGAACGTCGTTTATCGTTAATGCCTGTTAAATAATTTTCTCAACCCCACACACTTCGCATCTTCCGTCCAAAATGCTCTGGCAGTTGCTCACAACTTCTCCGGCCATTGGAAATTCCTCTGAATATCTTGTATCCTCAGCAATTTGAGCCATTCAAGCCATTTACCGAATGTCATGGCTCGATAAATGGCACGGAGTTCTGGGTGTGAGTTTGACCACAAAGTTATCCTAAGTGTTGCGCCCGAAATTGGATCTAATTAAACTCACGATAGTCCAAAATTCAGAACATGAGAAGTATACTTAACTTGAGTTTGCCTACCAAGAACTCCGTGTTTCTTGAATAGTGTGTCATTCTCGTGCAAATAAAAGTCAATTCCAATTGTCTTAGCCACATGGTTACCAATTCTGTGATGCAATAAGTTGATAAGATTTTATAAAATATGCTCAAAGCACGTACAATTAGAGGTTTGGATTTTATTATCCGTTTTATTATTATTATTGTGTTTCAAATTGCTTCAAAATTAAATATTAAGTTCTGTCAAATTTCATCAATTTATGCAATTTATAATAAAAGTAATTTGCAAAGCTTCTCGTGCTTTTCTTCCAATATTTCGCTAGCGCTCGTGTGTGTGTGAAATATTGCATAAATGAAGCCTATATTCAACTTATACTTTGTTGGACAGCCGCAAGGGCGTTTTGATACAAAACTCTCGGAGTTGGCATGACTTGTACGGCAATAATTCAAAAGTTTCACTCCCTCGCAGATCATTAAGGAAGTGACTCCTGTAAGTGAATTGAAAGTGCTGATATCTGGAAACTCCATCCATTGACAATTTTAGCCAGAGGCTTTGCGATACTGTGCTGAATGATTTATTCAGGCAGCAAAGTCACTGGGCGAAAATTGCATCAATTTTCTCAGAAAGTGGTCAATTTCTCGTGATTTTGCACCTCTTGTGTGGCTTCTGCATGTTCTCCTGTGCTCCATAAGCAGTTGGGCTTGTTTTATAGATGAAGCCAGGTCTCATTTGGGAGGGAAATCAGGAGAATTTCCTTCCCTTAGTCGCTGTGTGACCAAAATTGCGTGTCAGAAACTAACTTGTACATACTTTAAAGCTTTCCCACACGTGGTCTTCGGTGTTGTTGGAATGTTTTTTTTCTTCTTCCCAGGTCGAGGGTGCGAGCATATGTGAAGATTCCTCCTCTTTTATGTACAGAAGAAAGAAAACACCCAGTGTGAGAAAATTGAGAACACAATTCACTTTATTTTACCATTCATGGGTGAGAAATAGAGGGGCTTGAGACTGATGGGGTTTCTATTGAAAGTGATTTTTTGTGCCCTTTCTTGCCTCGCGCTGCTAATAACGTGCTGGGCCCCCTGAGATTGAAGGGGCCCCAGAAGTGGGGTGGAGAGAATGGACGAAATCTTGAGCGATAGCATTGAAGAGGAAAAGCTTAACACATCCTCTCTAAACTTTTCCCATTCAATGCAAATGGTATTATGAATAAATTTATTATAATCACATTTTTCGCCAAGCCAAGCTCCACAGGCTCTGACCTCATTCTGCCCCTCTATATTGGGTGGGAAAAGTTTTGTTAAACTAGAGATTAGTCATAAAAGTTGGTCAGTATTTCAATAGACGCTCGGGTTAATCTGTGCAAGTCCCCCATATTCGCCATAGGCATCCGTACAAATCACCCACCCACAAAATTGTCACACTCCCAACTTGGCCAGCTCTCGTGATACCGTCCAATATTATCTCATCCTCATGGACAAACTTGTATTACACTTTGCTGAGCTTCACAGCTCCGCAGGACTGAAAAGGACTCTCCAGCTGGATGGCAAACACTGTGCTAGATTATTACCAGGAGAGTGAAACTTGTCGTTTGAGTTTTAAGAAACCGGGGAATTCTTCAAGAAGTAGTCCTGAGTTCTTACACATTTTGAAGGTTCTCCCGTGCTTAATTAAAAGCAAACATGCTGGAGGAAAGGTTAATCTAGAGAGATAGAGAGTGTGGAATCATGCTGGGATTCCACAATTGTGAAATAGGTTTCACCCCAACTTCCACAAGCCAGTCAATTCACTCAGAAAGTCCTGCTTTAAAGTGTATTTCGCATTTTCCTGGCTGTTTGGGGAATCCGGTGAGATCGACAGTACTGATTGAAGGGGGACAGAATTGACAAGAGCAATGGCAGAAATACAGCAATCCCAAAACAATATTGAATGTATAAAAATATTCATAAAATTTTATGAGCACCAATTGAATATGTATAAGAGAGGCCTAAAAAACACACGATTTGGTTTGTATTTCATTTCCCACCTTCGCCAAAGTGAATGGATACATCATCCAAAGCGCTTCCCACATGCACACCCCGCAAAGCTCCCGTGCAGGAGCTTTTGGGGGCAGAAATGGCACTGTGGGTGATTTGCATCGCATAATAAAATCATTTCCGCGTGGCGAATTGGAAAAATGGTGGTAGGTTGTAAACATGCGCCCTTTTTTGAGCAACATAAATTTACGCTTTATTGTGTAAATAAAGTGTTTTCGACAAATAAACACACATTTTCACAAGTCCCCACCATCGCGCCAGACACCCGTGAGCGCTCTTGCACAAAAGAATTGAATTTGTTGCTCCTCCGGGCCCCACTCCACGTGGCGCCAGTGTTTTATTCATAAACATACATGAAAAGTTCTGACTTTAATTTGAAAACTTTCCTCTCTTCCGCCCAAGAATTTCGCCCGAGTCCGCTTCAATTCACGCCAAACTCGCCAAAAGCTTCTTTTATGTTATTCATCGGAATGATTGTTGTGAGGAATAAAATCTATAAGCATAAAACTGAAACGATGCACTGAGTGAATGTTGAGTGCAGTTTGAAGCTCATAATGTGCTTGAATTAAATAGTGTCACAGTTTAACTGTGTAGTGAGTGAAATTGCTTTGCCTGAGGAGATTTTTAATGAGAGTTTTGCATAGGAATTTTACATTATCTCTAAATGGAATCTCTTTTAATTCAAAACATTCCTTTGGCGTCAAACTTAACTGGGGGAGGTTTAGAGTTAAAGAAAGACACCTTTAAGCACACTAAAGTGCGATTGTCAGGACTTCAAAATTTGCGGAAGTCTGAAAAGCTTTTGATGGTGACACTATGTGTATAGAGAAAGCTCATTTGTCATTTTTCAATACAATCAAAACCTGGGACAATTGCTTTGTGTATTTTCTCCCTTTTCATCAACAGACACACTTTCCCAGAGCGAAATGGAAGCTTTCAAGAAGAACGTCCAAAGAGAAGACTTTCGCTAATTGAAAGCTCTTGTCTTTTCATTTCCAGGAAGCTTGCGTCTTTTACCATCTCTCTCTCTCTCTGCACCTATTCTGGTGAAATGAGCGATAAACAGCGTTTATGGCGTTCTAAATTCCTTTTTTTTTAAAGGACGCTTTCAGAAATTAATCGTCGCACAACAGAGTGTAAGTGCTGTGCTTACGGATGTCAATCATCGGGGATTATTGAGGCGATTGTTAGCTATGCCAGTCAATCTGCACTGACTCACTGACCATTTGTCGTTGCATTTGCAGGCGTATTGAAATGTGGTTCCTGGGCAGCTTTGACGTCGCCGTTTGGCCGCAAATACGGCGATTCCGTCAGCGAGTGTTTGGCAATTTGAGTCCACAAATGCAACCACGAGAGTGCTGCTTGATAAGCACGCTTCACGTCATCGCCCTCAGCATGAGAAACAATTCAATTTGCCAAGGTATGTGGCGTGATCCAGTTTCGCAAGAAATGCAATTTCTGCACGCGGAGGAATCAATATTTGCTCGTGTGATATGATAAATCCATTGTTGTGTCACTTCTGTGAATACCCCAAAGGACGCTGTAATTCGGTTACAGTCGCATCGATGTCACAACAATACCAACATTTTGATGCCATCTGGGGAGTACCAAATTGGACTGCAATCGATATGCAGAGCAAACTCGCCGAAGCCCTGAGCGCAGTTCGTATACTGGGAATCATAGGAATTTTTCCTAACGAACGCGACGAAGAAACCTCAGCGGAGATAATGGAAATGTCGAATTGTAAGGTAGAAAAAAAAGAGTCCTTTTCCCGCACCTCAGAAGAGTTGAGCTGAAACAAAAATCGAGTCAATTGATAAATGTTGAATTGAGATAAAAATAAGAGTCACTCAGGTGGAAAATCGCTCTTCAATTTGGTCCTCGCCTGCGAATATTGTGAATGGAAAATCGTTTCGGATGAGAAAACTAAGAGGATAGATATAGAGCATTTCCAATTCAATTTCAATTTCTCTCCTCTTTTTTTTCTCTCCACCATCGGTTTGATGCTCGAGAGAGCAGATTTCGCCGCTACAGAGACGACAAGGATGTTGGGTGAGCTCATTTGAATTCGTCAGAACAGACGAAAAGTTTACAATTACCGGGGAAAATAGTGGCGAAATGTGGGTGTGAGGCGAATCGATGCGAAAGAGGTGAGGAAAAAATAATTATGCTCTTGTGGATGAAGTGGAAAATGCTTGTATGTTGGCCCGGAGTAGCAGAGAAATAATTGGCTCGCCACTAATGATGGGCTCCTCTGGGAGTGAAATGGGAGTGACACTGAGCAATTTGATAATCGACCCGTAATGACGAAAGGGATTCCACAGCAGGCTTGGTTTTTCATGCACGACATAATTAAAATTGTTTATCGATGCTTCACTCGTAATTTACTATTAATTAAATTATTTTAATACCGAATTTCTTTCACTGGATTTTTTTTTTCAAATAATAACTGCAGATAAATAACCCAGTCAAAACACAATCTGCTGTCCATCATTTATCCACTCTTTTTCCGTTGTGCTACCCTTGAAAACAAAAAAAAAACCATTGAAAATTCATTGAAAATAAATAAAGATAATCGTCATGAATATTACGATGGAGATCCGCGGACATAGTTCATCGAAATTGTTTGAGAATATTTCAAGGAGACATGCAGTGCGATTTTCCTCCACAAATCAACAGCGAACATAACGGACAGTCCGGTGAGAATCTCGCGGGATTCCATTGTGGCTGTTTTTACTGGATATATCATATTTCTGCGGAAATAATAATGAGAAGAGTGAAAAATAGCTCACAAAATCACGAATTGCGAAGTACACTTGTCGTC